TTTTCTCAAGAAGTGAAAAGACTCCCTCTTCAGTACAACCGCCTCCCTAAACGTATAAAGAGTAATATGGACATTTGACAAATCCACTCCTACTGGGCCGACCCACTAATAGGAACCGAAATAGTGCAGGGCGTAAAAATTCAAGAAAACATATGACAAGCTATCGGGATTCAATCTCGTGACCCTGGAGCTATGATTAAGTGTTGATAGCCTCTCCATCTGCTAGTTGCCTTAGATTAAACCTAGCGCGAGTCTTTTATGAACACACAGAAGCGGCACAGAACGTTTGCAAAATTTGGAACGTTCACTGAAACTTGAGAACATTTTTTAAATACCGATATATTTTAAAGTCCATGAACAATTTTTTTAAATAGAAACTTTTTCGAATTTTTAAAACAAAATGTGGAAATGCTTATATTTTTTAAGTCCATGAACTTTTTTTAATATGCAAATATTTTTTAATTTGTGAACAATGTTTTGAAATGATATTTTTTGTTGAAAACACGAATAATCTTTGAAAACTTGAAGCGCACTTTGAAATTATGAACACATTTAAAAAATAAGAAAGTTTTTTTAGAAATTCTGAATTATTTAAAAAAAATCACACGAGCAAATTTTGAAACTCTAATTTTTTTAAATACGAACAAATTCTGAAATTCTGAACATTTGTTGATGCGAAAAAATTAAAAGTGTGAAGAAAATTTTGTTAACAAATTCAAAAAATGTTCCAATTTTCACAATTGTTCTCAAGTTCAAAAACTATGTAAGGGAATTTCACAAAATGTTCTCGTTTGCAAAGATGTGTTCATAATATTGACAATGTTCGTATTTTTCATGTTTTTCAAATAATGTTCAAATTTACAAAAAATTGCTTTGAAAGATGCTAACGTTTCCAATTGTGTGCCTTTTTTACATAACTGTTTCGAGATTCCCAATGTTGGCGTTTTTGCAAAATTTAAAAAGTCTTTCAAGTTCGAAAACAATCCAGAAATCATTTTAATAAATCGGATCTGCCACTTGTTCTTATAAGTTCGTCTAATTCACTAATCACTCGGACTCACTAGCTCCACTGGCTTTGAACTCTCTTCAACATGCACCCTTTATTCGCACCAAGGCATGTCTTAGCAGCGCAGCCACTAAAAAAAGTATGTCAGGCGGCGCGACGTATTTTTTTAGAAAAGACCATCATACTCTTTATTATGAAGAGGTGTGGAGAAATCTTCACCCTTGATGTGTTCAGGAGGTTGTACTGAAGCAGAAGTGAAAAAAGAAAAAGAAAAAAGAGTACATCCGGACCGTGCTGCGGACCGATACAGGACCGCGTTGAATGATTTACGTGATCCGAGATGCGGACGGTTTAAGGGTCGTAGATGCGCTTACTACTCCATTATTACTGCTGCATGCAGTGAACCTAGCGACGCACGTGCACAATGCAAGGCAACGCGAGCGTCAGCACGGCACTATGCTCGCGGCAAAAATGCTAAACACACGGGCCTATTACGGGGCTGTTACCGGGTTTACTATAAAATCTCTCCACCGCGCCGTGATTTTCAGGTGGATGGGGCCAATCTCCTTCCTTATAATCCAATAAAACCTTGCCATGTCGGAGGCACTCCGTAAACCCTCCGTAACAGGCCCGTGCCTATTTTCGTCTCGCCGTGCCTATATAACGCGAGCACTCCGCGGACGACATATCATCCCCATCCACACAGGTGATCGACCGATCACCGGAGAGATTGCACCTTTGCCAATCACTTGCACGTAGACACGGCAGCTTCGGCTCCGCACACATACATAGGCATGGCCACCAGCAGCCCGCAGCTCGTGATGCTCGTGTCGTGTTTGGCCGCCCTTGCCGTCGCCGCCGGCGCCGGGGAAGTGGATGGTAGGCCAAAGGCCCGCGGGTTTGTGACGGCGAGCGGGGCGCGGTTCATGGCGGGCGGGCGGCGGTTCTACGCCGACGGGTTCAACGCGTACTGGCTCATGTACATGGCGTCGAACCCCGCGGACCGGAGCAAGGTGGTGGACGTGCTGGAGCAGGCGTCCCGCCTCGGCGCGACGGTCGTCAGGACCTGGGCCTTCAGTGACGGCCAGGGCAGCGACCGGCCGCTGCAGATCACCCCCGGCGTGTACAATGAGCAAGTGTTCGTGGTATGTGTGTGTCTGTCTCACGTTGAACGGCGCGGCCAAAGCTACGCTAGAGATTTCCGTTTCACTTGAGCAGATTAATTACACGTACGCCAAAGATAGCCATAATACCGTTTACCCTAGTAGTCCTGCATGCAGGTTCGTTTCCGTCGCTAAAATCATGTGGTAGTAGCAACGATTTAGACAGATGGACACGAATAATGTCTGTCACGCCAAAGATCTTCTTAATCAATGGCCAGACGTCTTAAAATCTTACTGCTACTATTGCTCATTAAAATGTTTTACTCGTTTGCCCATTAAAAAGATTTCATTGTATACTCGTTAAAATCTTACTGCTCACTAAATCTTAATGCTACTATTGCTCATTAAAATCTTTTACTTGTTATTATTGTTATTGTCCATCAAAAAGTTTTCATCGTATATATTCCGGCAGTAAAAGGGTTTCATTGTACTACTTTACTCCTCCCTCCGTTTTAAAACATAATAATGTGTATTTGTTCTTTCAAAAGTCAAACGCTCCTATGCTCTGGCCCCAAAGATCTTAATCAATGGCCAGGCGTTTCAAAATCTTACTACTACTACTCATTAAAATGTTTTTACTCATTTATAATTGTTCATTAAAAAGTTTATATTGTATATATTCTATGGTAGCAAAAAGGTTTCATTGTACTGTATATTCCAAGTGAGCTGTAAAGATCTCACACGAAAACGTACCGATTCACCATTGAAGAGCAAGATACAGTGACATACACGTATATATGCTGCATTTACTAAGTATATGTTTTTCCCCTTGGAATATATTTGTGCAGGGACTAGACTTCGTAATAGCGGAAGCGAAGAAACGAGGGATCTACTTGATCCTGAGCTTGGTGAACAACATGGACAGCTTTGGCGGGAAAAAGCAGTACGTGAAGTGGGCGCGAGACCGGGGCCACTACCTTGGGTCCGACGACGACTTCTTCTCTGACGCGCTCACCCAACAGTTCTACAAGAACCACATTAAGGTCTCTCCCTCTTATGGAAGTGTTGCTGCACTGTATAGTTTTTCTTTTTGCGAGATATGCACCGTATATACGTCATATCATTGTGGTTATATGTGTTTGTGGAACAGAGGATGATCACGCGAGTAAACACCTTCACGAGGGTGGCGTACAAGGACGAGCCGACCATCTTCGCGTGGGAGCTGATGAACGAGCCTCGCGTCCCGAGCGACCTCTCCGGAAAGACAATGGAGGTCGGTCACTCACACAAAACAAAACAAAAAAATCTATGGCCTCAGTTCACTTCCTATATATCACGCCTGTTTATTTTGGCCATTCCGTTCATTAGTTTGATTTGATGGATTTGCAACTTTGCATCCAGCGCTGGGTGGCGTCGATGTCCGCGTACGTCAAGTACGTCGACCCCAAGCACATGGTGGAGATTGGCATGGAAGGGTTCTACGGCGAGTCCACGCCGGAGCGCAAGCGGTTCAACCCGGGGCAGGGGTACACCGCCGGCACCGACTTCGTCTCCAACAATCGCATCCCCACCGTCGACTTCGCCACCATCCACGTCTACCCCGACCAGTGGTACGCAAAATAAGTTCATCTTCTCCTAGCCCGAACCATCGATGGATTAAACGTGTCACTCGCGCGTGTGTGTGGCAGGATGCCGGGGTCGAGCAGCCAGGCGCAGGTGGAGTTCACCAAGAGGTGGATGGCGTCCCACATCGAGGACGCGGGGAAGGCGCTGCGGAAGCCGCTGCTGGTGGCGGAGTTCGGCTGGTCCGCGCGCTCCGGCGGCTACACGGTGGCGGCGCGGGACGGCTACTTCCGCATGGTATACGACGCCATCTACGCTTCCGTGAAGGGGAACGGGCCGTGCGCCGGGGGGCTCTTCTGGCATGTCATGGTGCCCGGGATGGAGAGCTGGACGGACGGCTATGACGTCGTGTTCGAGCGCAGCCCCACCACCGCCGCGGTCGTCTCGCAGGAGTGCGCCAAGATCGACAGATTCACGCCCGCTGTCTAGCTTTTTTGTGATAGTGGCACATGCATGTGTGTGGAGGAATCGAAGACTCACGAGCCCATTGGATTGGAATTATTTACATCGGGTTGCTAATGAATAGAAGAGCGCTAGGCGTCCGTGGGACAGCGGGCCAACAAATCGTCCCTCTCCTCAGCCCTAATCCAAGTTATCTTTTTGTTTGCAATGTCATCACATCATTTCTTCTTGGTGTATGTCAAAACATTGCAGAAAACATTGCAACAATTCAAGCAAATACAAGCAACAAATTTTATTTATGTATGCAATAAATTCTCGGTGGTAGCAACAAACTCCATAAGAGAAGTGGTTGCAATGTATTCAAGGATGTAAGCCAACATATGCAATAACAAGAAAATCAATTGGTAGTATGAAAACATAGTTCATAGCAGACACCTAGAATCATCGCAGCATGTCACATAATGTGTTGGAAGCAAAAAAAACATGAGCTTTCTAGCATGCCAAGCGATCACCACATCAAAATCCTCAAACCGCCAACCTCAATATGGAGCACTGACTTCGCCGCCAAACACGGCCTCCCTCGATCATACACCGCAAAGAACTTTGGTTGCGGGTTGTAGTCACCACGAGGTCATCCATGGCAGTGAGCTCGACGCTTGTGTTAAAATGGAAGAGGGTTATTAAGGGAGAAACACCCTGTTGTGGTGATAGAGGAGAAGCAGCATATAGCTAGAATGAGTGCACGAGTGGGTCAAGTGATCAACATCATGGAATGATGCAAAAATTTAAAGCAACATGAGACGGATGAAAGCAATGCTAAGTGATCCGTACACTATAAAGCGATCCGATCCGATGGACGGTCAGGTGATCCAAATCATTTTTCTAACGAATAAGACTACTACATGTTTTTTTAAGTAAAGGACGATGTAACTCCCCGTTTAATTGATGGAACCATAGAGACCAAGTACAAAACAAAACAAAAGCAACCCAAACATTAGACCACACCTCAGAGGGCACAATTTTGACACTAAGAAAAGGCTACAAAATTACCACAAGAGCATTAGCACACACGAGCAAATGACTAATGGCATCTTACTGAGTTGCTTGAACAGCAACACGGACTAAACAATCACACGCTATTAGGCAATAATGTGTCACCTAGCTGGATCCCATCCTTGAGCATGTTTAAACACTTCGCTCGCCACCACTGCGAGTATTCTGAATTCTTACCGAAGATCATCCATCATCTTTCCCATTTGCAATCCATCCCACTCGTAAATATATCTTTTTACCCCTGAAATAGCGAGAGAGTATCTCACCGTGCTTTCCAATTAAATAAAGTTATAACTGTTGAACATACTTTACAAATGCCTAGCCACTTTGGGCCGAAGTAGAGCCGTGTTCTTATTGTAGGGGAATTACAAAGCGAGAGAGACGGGGTTTTGCTTTTTCTTAACCTATGGGCAAGGAGAAAGAAATCTTCAATTAATCTTTTTTCCAGAAGGTAAAGCTTGGTGCAATCCCTTTGCTGCTTGTCGTTTCTTTCCTTCCAAATGCTCTAGGATCCCATTTGTAAATGTAATGACAAAGGAAAACACTTTAAAACAATCGACTGATTTCTGGAAGAAATCAATTGTGTCGCGTGAACAGAACATATCCTAGTTGCGACCATGCACCGCTCTTCCCTCTAGGGCCACTCGTCTCCTGCCTTATCTACCTTATCTCTCAAGAGCCGCTCGTCTCCTTCTCCCACCTATTTTCCCAACGATGTTTTGTCTCTGTTTGTAGTACCACATGACCCGCACCGGCCGCCGATGCTGACGACGATGCACTCGCCACTATCCTCTGTAGCACCATGTGAGCGTCGCCATCCTAAACACAACGTGGTGATCCATTGAAGCACCGGTTGCAGCTCCTCGGGCACTGATGTTGTTTTGCTCTGACCACCACACCGCGAGGTTGTGGCGCCACCACACCGGCTGCTGCAACCCCCATGTTGTAGCAGTGCAACTAGCCACCAGCCATGCAGCAATGGCGGCTTGTTGTAATGTGAGTGGGTTGTAGCATTGCCACTGCTGCAATCTCGATGACTTGGCTTCAACGTGCTCCAACCTAAAACATCGTCACTACTTCAATAACATCCCTCGCACTTCAGCAACCATGGCGGGGCTGCAAGTCAAACCGCACAACGATGAGGATCGCCGTTGCTACAACTTGGACCATACTTTGACGCACTTCGCCCTGGAACATCCCTCGCTGCTTCAGCAACCACAACGCGGGTGCAACCTGGACGTGACTATGCAACAACAAGCAGCACTGCTGGTGCAACCGCCCTGTCGCAACACCGCTCGTGCTGCAAGCGATGCTGCAGCGATGGCGCCTTGCTACAACCCCCGCAATGCCATCGTATTGCGACAAAGTGACGGGGTGCGGCATGATGTTGTGGCTGCGAACAACGACTTGTGAGCCATGTCTGGGCGAAGATGAGTGTGACCGCGTTGCTGCTTCCACTTCCGGCCGCCGCCAGTGCTGGACATCGGCGTCATCCTCACCATCAATGCCACCAACCCCAGTGTGGTGCCCGTGTACATCGCCTCCAACATCTCCACCCTCTACAGTGCCTCCAATATCTCCATCCTCTATGGCCTTTGCGCTAGTGGCGATGAATCGGCACTGCTCGGGGAGCTCTTTGAAGATTCGTACCTAGGCGCTTGTTCACAACCACGTGTAAAATAATGGTTATTTTATTAGACCAGTAAAGTACACCTATATTTTTTTACGGTGTGTTACTTTACACCAATTCCAGTCGGGGCCTCAAGGGAGATCCCGATGCCTTCTTTCGTAGAGTAACACGGTGAGTAGCAGAGACAAGTTAGCTTTGTGTTGCAGTTCATGTAACTTGTAACACAACGTTGTCGTGGGTGTCTTCCCCACTTCACCCTATAATACATAATACACACACTCGTACATATTCGAGAGAAAAAACTTCTTGCATGTATGCTTGTTTGAAAATGGATTACTCCACCTCGTGCTGCTGCAATTGCGTGAAGCCGCTGCCGCGTTTGCGTGCTGCCGTACGCACTAGGTGCTGCCGCCGTGTGCTACCGCGCATGCGTGTGTGTAGCAACATGTGTTGCAGAGCCGCCGACACGTGCTGGGCGCCGCAACCGCGTGCTGATGCGTGTGCGTGCGTGCCGAGCGACGTAGCGTGCTCGCAGAGGCCCTCGCATTCGCGTGTGCGGAGCTCGCCGCGGTTGGTTGCACCCTGGAGGGCCGGCCGCAGGTATGTTCCTCGCAGCTGCGTGCTCTAGCCATGTCACATATAACATGTTCATTGAAGTGCCTCAAAATGAGGATGCTAATTTGAGAGGTGTGGTGGGCGGTAGAAAAAAATGAACGGTTAAAGTGGACATGAACGGATACTGGCCGAGCGTGTCCGTGAGTGTTTAGGGGGTAAAGTTTGTGCAATATGGCTGTAGATGCTCTAAGAGAAATATTCCAACAATGCAGTGCAGTGTTGCAAGTTGGAAAGGGGGCCAAAGGGAAGGAAACATACATTGAATGACATTCCATTCATATATGTACTTGTAGCAAAAACAAAACTGAGTGATAAATGGATTCATCTTGATGACAAGATAAACTTATTTTTCTCCCCAAGCCACCCACGACGAAGTAGCACATCCCTGGTTAAACACTAGGTTTAGACAGCAACCAGGAGAATATCTTAATCCTTGGTTACAGTTTTTTTTGAACGATCCAACTGATGGTTGGCTTGCATTGATTGACAGCAGAGAGTAAAATGGGAATACAAATCGGGCGGGGACTGGGGAGTGATCAGAAGATTAAGGAGATAAAAGGAAGAAGGGAAACAGGAAGCGTTTGTGACCGGCGAAAAGGCCGAAGCTTGTGCCGGTCACGCGCGAGTCATACGATCCGCCCAGGTCCATCGTCCCGTGTTAGTCCCCAACGTGGCCATGTCATAAGGGGGGCCATCCCATCCACCTATAGATGATTATCTCTTCCAATCACTCGTTCAGATCCCCTCTCCTTCTCTCTTCCCTTCCTCCAGACGTGCCACTCTCCTCTCTTCCTCCCATGATACGGTTGTATCCTTCTCCTAGGCTGTCGGTGAGCTTCTGCGAGCCCTTTTCCCTCCATTTTGTTTTCCGGATCAAAGAAAGTTGTTGCAAAGGGAGGCCATGGGCTACTTGCAACCCGGGAAAGCCATGTCCGTGCATCTCCTCGGCGAGATCGGAAAGTTTTGCAACTGGCGTGGACTAGAGGTGACGGCCACCAACGTTGAAGCTGCAACCGGTTCTGCGATTTGCTTCAATCGGCAACCAGAAAGCTACCACTAGCACCCGGGTTTGCTGCAACCAGGTGACGACGGTGCACTTTTTTTGCTGCAACGGGCAACAGGGAAAGCTACCACCGACACCTGGTTTTGCTACACCCAGGGAACGATGAAGTGTGGCTGGTGTTGGCAGGCTGCAAATTTTGTTGCAACTGACAGTGGGAAAGTTACTACTAGCGACCGATTTTTTGTTGCAACTGGCGTGCGGTGGTGCAAGCCACATGTGGTGGTGCGATGAGCGGTAACATGGGGTGACTGATGTCTACTACGCAACTTTATTCTTGTAGACACGTGTTGGTGAAGGAAATATGCCCTAGAGGCAGTAATAAAGTTGTTATTTATATTTCCTTATATCATGATAAATGTTTATTATTCATGCTAGAATTGTACTAACCGGAAACTTAATACATGTGTGAATACACAGACAAACAGAGTGTCACTAGTATGCCTCTACTTGACTAGCTCGTTGAATCAATGATGGCTATGTTTCCTAACCATAGACATGAGTTACCATTTGATTAACGGGATCACATCATTAGAGAATGATGTGATTGACTTGACCCATCCGTTAGCTTAGCACGATGATCATTTAGTTTGTTACTATTGCTTTCTCCATAACTTATACATGTTCCTATGACTATGAGATCATGCAACTCCCGAATACCGGAGGAAC